GGCACTTGGCTAGATTATTTATCTTTGAGAAAAAAGTTAAATTTAATAAACTTAAAATAAGATCTAATGACTTTCTTGAATTTCTTATTTGCGCTGCACATCCTCTGTCTCATCTACTGTGTAGGAGGCAGACTCTGTCCATTCAGAGTGCGCGCTGCTTTTGCCAAACCAGACACTTGCTCCGCATCCTTGAAGTCTTTTCTGTTACAAAATCAAAACATACTTCTGATAATACATAAATCTCCCCTGATTGGCTGTGTTAAATGGGCTTTTATCTGCCGCTTGTGTTTGACTGGGGGCAAACCCCCCTAGAACACCCACTACAACTGCATTTCTCCACAATTACAATGTCGGTGTTAATCCCACAGAGGCCACAGGGAGCAGGAATGAGCAGACCAGAGTGAGGCAACAAAGACAACTGAAAACTTTCAGTATGATCTGTGTGAACATCATAGACTGTATAAAAGATGGACGTTTTTACCATGACATCACCCGTTGGTTTCTGCACTGAGAAAATGAAGCCAGGGTTTTGCTACTTCCTGGTTGACATCTTGGATTTTTGGAGCCAGTGACGCAAAAATTGTCGGAGGGGGGCGGAGCCATAGGAGCAGCGATTGGTCAGATGGATTGAGAGGCGGGCCCTCTCTGCCCCGCCCACATTTACCGCCTTCTGCTCGCTTCGTCTGTATGGTCGCTGCCGACTGTCAATCAAACCAGCCACGCCCCTTGCACCGCAAAATTTTGATGATTTTTTAAAAATTCCGTATTGATTTATTTTCAGATTGGCCACCTGATCTCTGGATCTGGCCATGAAAACTAATAAGAAAAAAATCCTGAGCTGTAGAAATGCAGTATTTCATGATCTGTGATCACTTCTTTTCAAATTCAAGTCTATGGGAGCCAGGGCTTTATGGAGCCAGCAGCTGGCGGACGTAGGTTTTTGACTCTTCCGGGTTGGCTTCATCTTTCAGGGCCGGTTGCTACATCCATCTTTTATACAGTCTATGGTGAACATGCACATTATATCTGTTCTGAATCTGTCCAGGAGATGCAGTTGCAATCAGAAGCTGTAATGTGTGTTGTGGACCAACAAGCACATGAAAGAAAAAAAAAAAAGGTGCATGCGACCAGCCCTTACATTTTTTGTAGTGTCTGCATTTTGTCGCACCTGCGCTGTTTTTTCTTTGTCATTATAAATCTATAGACTATACATAAAACATAGATGTATCCTCTGGGTTTGAAAAGTAAAGACGTGTAAGTGAGTTAAAGCTGCATTCTAATGAAGCATCTTTGATCCTTTAGTTGGTTTCAATCAATTTGTGACTGAATACAGAGTGGGAGTAAGTTGATTCCCCCAAGTAAGCAAAACTTTCCATCTACTAGTTGATCTACATTCCAGCTCTCCACCTGAAAGAATGAGGCTGTAATGTGGCCAAAATGTGTTTCCACCATTAGGTTTCTGGCCTCACCCTGAGGTGAAGGTGAAGGAGTTCTGGGTAGAGTCGCTGCTCCTTCATGCTAACAGAAGCTGGTTGGGGTGGTCTGGGCATCTGGTCAGGATGCTCCTGGCACCTTCTGCTGGAGGTCTTCCAGGTTCATCCAACTCGTAGGAGAGTTTGCGGTGGACCAACTCACTGGAGAAATTCTATATCTCATCTGGCCAGGAAACGCCTCAGGATCGCCAGGAAGAGCTGGAAAAGATTGCTGGGCAGATGGACGTCTGGATTATCTTGCTTAACTTGCTGCTACCACAGCCTGACTCCGGATTTCAAACAGATGTCAATATTTTTTTTGTTGCTTCTGAAAATGTATTTAACGTCAAAACACTCTATATTGCTTGCATCATGCAGTCACTTGTCTAAAAATAGTACGTGCCATTAATGGTGGAGAATACGTTAAAGATTCAGTCGCACTGTTCGTCTCTAATAGGAGTCTTGCTTCGTGAAGAGGCACGTTCAGATGGTTTCTGGAAGCGAGGCAAAAAGTGTTGAAACTCAATCTGGGTGGCAGAACAAACACATGCACAGACACTCAGCACACACAGTAAAGCCCAGCGAGGTGAACAAATGAGGGCGGTAAATAGATCCATTAAAAGCCTGGGTGTGCCGACGACGTAACCAGCTCAACACTTGAAGTCTGGCTGTTTGGTGAATCAGACCCACTCCAGCTAATCCGTGCAGATCGGAGGTGAGCCGTCACTTCCTGCATTGTTTGGTTTGCATGCCTGTCTTCAGCTGTGACAGGGTCAGAGTCCCGCTGATCGCTGAGACGCATAATTGTTTGCTTTTAATTTGATCCTCTGCGGTACATCTGCGTACATCAGAGCCTGTGCAGTGAGGAGAAGAGGCGGGAGGGAGTGGGAAATGCACTCAGCCAGAAAGCCTCTGACAGAGAACAATACAAATACGATGGTCAGACTCAGAGAAAGGGGATGGATGGTATTAGTTGCAAACATGTCACAAACAGACAGATTCCCTCGTGGACGCGGAGGAACAGAATGACAGAGGAACTGTGAAACATGCTGGTTAACATGAGAAAAACAGTGAGTTCCTTCAGGATTAGGATGGCACATGTTTTTGTTTTGGCTTCAGAGTCTTATTACTTTGGATGTGAAATGACTGCATGTGGTTAGAGGGTGGATTAGAGCTGAAATTTGATTTTGCTGCAACAGCACATCAAGCTTTTTTTGCCACAGGAGCATGAGGACTTAATGGATTCACAGCAGAGATCAAGAGTCAGTTTGAGTTGTTGAACTGAATTATTAATTTTCCATGTGTGTTGTTTACGCTTTTATTATCCCCATTATCTGTGGACGCTGTATTAAAGGAGACCAAGGTCCAAAAAGTTAGTAATTTAAATGGGATGTACTTGTTTTTTCACAGGACTGTGCCGTGATATTCAGCAAAGTATTGTAGCTTCAGTGATCCGTCCAAATGTTTCTGAAAAGGGAGAACAAAGACAGTTTTTGTTCCTAAATATCTGGTCCAATTTGGCTGAAAATCCCTTCAAAATGAAGCTGACAATCTGCTATTAACCTCATATTTACTGTATTATATCACATTTCAGAATGAGTGCATGAAGCCAAACCCTGGGTTTGTTAGCAGCTGGCTGGGGAATATGGAGCTGTGCTGAGGTACACAGCTCACTCCCTATTGTTCATTTTAATTTACGGTGGACCAAAGCCAAGGGATGCTTTCTGTTGTGATTGTGACAAATAGAAAAAACAAGAGAGTGCTATATGTTTTGGTGTCATGATGGGCGGATGTACCAGGCCTCTGTTACTGCACTGGCATTACATCTAAGTTTGTTTTTATTTAACTTTTGAACAACTGTTGACCTGCTTTTTCACAGAAGTAGACAAACAATTTAACTCTCCTGTTACGGGTCAATTTGACCCAATATTGGCTTTCCTCTCTTTTTCTCCCTGATATCCTCAGACTTTCTCATTTTGCTTCCTGAGTTGTAAAATGTGTACACTTTGACCTTCATGCTTTCATTTATTCTTTGCTGTTTGCCTGCAGGTTTCTTGCTATCTGGGTGCTACAGCCTCGATTCTACTTCTAACATTTATTGTGTTTTAGATTGCTATTAAAATGTGACTTTTTTGTGTGTTTTTGTGCAAAATATCTTTGCAAGTTTGGACATGAGTTACCACCTTCCACTTTGGACAACAGTGGTACGTTGTTGATGTGTGAGTCTGAACCACCACTATTTCAGAACTAAATAGCGTTGCCCAGTGAGGTTGGGAGAGCTTGAAATTACCTTAATCTGTCGAAGAGAGTGAACTCCAACTGCGATCAACCCAAACATCCTGCCAGAAAAATGTTTGTCGTTAGACTGTGCCGCTGCACTAATGCCAGCATTGTTAGAGCGCACAAGTTACCACTTTTTATCTTAATAACTACTTTTTCTTTACTCACCACGTTTACAGTTTCCTTCCATTTTATTTGTGAACTTTGATGTTAACAGCTTCTTCCTTCTGCTGCTGCTGTGTGAAAAACTGCAACTCCAGCTTTGCCATTCAGTCATTTACATGGTCCTAATGGGTTTAGTAAGTTTGACGTCTCAAGGGCAAAAACCACACTGTATGCAAAACTGAGTGTATACTTTGAAAAATGCATGAGGCTGACTGAGCAAATACCGAGGAAAATGGTTTGCTTACATACTCACACTTGTGCACACGGAGACCACCTCGACAACCGCGGCGCTCGTACATGTCGCTCTAACAACCTGCCGACTTCACCGCATGTTTCCACCTGACCTCAGAAGGGCTGCCGCAAATATCTGAGCACAAAGAGTCTGAAAAGATGTGACAGATTTACGAGTTTCAAGAGGTCAGAGAAGGTTTTCTTTACCGTTTCTTTGTCGCTACGTATTGTAATTAATCCAAACGCAATCAACCCATTCAAATGTGTCGAAGAAAGAATATTTTTGGTCATTAATAACACTCAGTAATGCCAGAAAAATTAAAAGCATACTCATTTTCTGTTTTCAGTCTCCTCCAGGGGTGACTTAATAACCAAGTAATCTCTTATAATTATATTTTCAAATATTTATGAACACTATTTCAGCAGTCTTCAAAAAATAGATTATCATTAAAGGAGGGAATATTTCAGCCTAAAAATCCACAGCTTGCCCTCATTTGACAGTTTCTTACGTAACACCGTCGGCACGTCTTCCACCTCCGGCTCCCTCAGGTTCCACGTCAGAGTCGGTGAGTTTTACGAGACCTGCTAATCAAAGACTTTGTTTTACGCTTCATGCATCTTTCAGCACCTTCTCCGTTGCGTTTTGTTCGATGAGAGAACAAACTTACCTTTTTGTTGCGAGATCTAACAGGCTTTGAAAAGCCTAATTAATGACTCCATGCTGCGTCCTCAGGTCATCTGAAGCGCTTTTGAACTTCTCGTGTCTCACTCGCTGAAGGGTGTTATTGCTGTAGCGTAATGTAACATCCCCCTTAATGCCGGTCTGTATGTGCTTTTTCCTCTCCTCTGCAGGGTGAGTGCTCCCAGAGGTGCTATAACATCTTTGTTCTGGAGACGGTGTGCGTGGCCTGGTTCTCCCTGGAGTTCCTGCTGCGCTTCATACAGACTCAGAGCAAGTGTATGTTCCTGCGCACACCTCTCAATGTCATCGACGTGGTGGCCATCCTTCCCTACTACATAACCCTCATAGTGGACTCTCTGTCGGTGGGAGGGAAGTCTACGGGCTCAGGGAACAACTACCTGGAGAAGGTGGGTTTAGTCCTCCGAGTCCTCCGAGCTCTGCGGATCTTTTACGTCATGAGGTTGGCCCGTCACTCCTTAGGCTTGCAGACACTTGGTCTGACGGTGAGGAGGTGTACGCGTGAGTTTGGCCTGTTGCTGCTGTTCCTGTGTGTGGCCATGGCTCTCTTCTCACCACTGGTGTTCCTAGCTGAGAGTGAAATGGGAGCCAAGCAGGAGTTCACCAGCATCCCTGGTAGCTACTGGTGGGCAGTCATCTCCATGACCACAGTCGGCTACGGGGACATGGTGCCCAGAAGCATCCCAGGCCAGGTGGTGGCGCTCAGCAGCATCCTGAGCGGCATCCTCCTCATGGCCTTCCCCGTCACATCCATCTTTCACACCTTCTCTCGCTCCTACGTAGAGCTGAAGGAGGAGCAGAACCGGGCACTGAGGCAGAAGCCGGACTCGCAGGACAGCACCAAGTCGCAGAACAGCGAGGACTCTCAGGAGACGGACAGCTACCACGGCATCACAGAGGCCGCTGCGTCGGCAGCGCAACGGAGAAAGTCCATGGCTGCTCAGAGAGCTGCTGAGATTAGAGCGTCCATGAAAACTTAGCTGCTCTGTCTGCTTGTCTGTATTCGAGAGGCAGCCTGGAAGGCCGTGACACCGCACACTGGGACTTCAAAGATGACAAGCTGCAGGACTGTGAACAGGGAGGAGATTTTCTTTTCTGGAGCTCGAGGTCTCTGCTTTGATTGTGTGCTGGTGCACCAGAGTGTATCTGAGTCTCACAAGTTTTACAGAGGAGCTGCAGAGTTACTTTTTTTTCCCACAAATTTGACTTTAAAATATGGGTAACAATACAATATTCATGTTTAAATAGCTCAAGTCAAATGAGATTAAAAAACTGCGACTGCGATTCAGATCAGTCTGAAAACATCACACGTTTCTATTCAGATCTGCGGATGTGAAGTCATGTTTCTCATTAAGCTGCACTTGAATGGATTGTCTGAAATAAACCTGTTTACTAAGATGTCAAACATTAATATTAAGGACAAATATCCTTTTCATTCACTCTCTGTTGTGTTTCGCCAGACCAAACAACTTCTGTAGGTGGAGTCATGTTATGTAAGTGTCATGTGTGTACATGATGATGTCAGTGCATTTATTTGCAATGAAGCTTTTTCATCTCAATATCATGGTAGGAAATGTATTTATCTGTCAAAGGGCTTTACAGTCTGCTGGGAAATGTAGTCTTTTTTTAAATGCCAAATGACAAGAGGATTGGTCCCACAACAGTGTCTCTAAAAATAAAGCTGAAGCCAAAACTAGCTTAGCTTAGCATAAATACTGGAAATGTGAGTAAACAGCCAGCCTCACTCGATCATGATATCTAAAACTAACTACTGAACACTTTAAAGGTTGAATACGCAATATTTTAAATGTTACTGTAGCATTAATATAACTGCAAACAGCTGTTATATAAAGATATATAAGATAGAATAATGTAGAGGAAGACGTCCCACTTCGCCTGTTTGTGTTGTAATTCAAACTTCTCTGTTCTGTGTGCAGCAGGTCCAGCAGCATATTAGTGCATGTTGGTCACTCCTTTTGAAACTGCTGGTCCACCCAGTGCTTATAAACGGACTGAGAATGTGTCTGCTTCTGGTGTGACCTTCCACATCACCTTGTTCTGGTCCAGTTTCCGTCAGACTGGAGCGGGTCCAAAGATCATACATGCAGAGAAGGAAAGACAGGTGACAAGAAGAGAACTTTATTAGTGTTGACAAGAAACATCCAATGTGTTTACAGTGCAAGCCTGGGCTAGCTGTGGTCGACATGCACCTTTGAATTATTCTGATATTCATGTGCTCTAATGTCATCGAATGCTTCTCAAAGGTTGCACATAGAACCTTAAAATCTCCTTTAATCTGGACACCATTGGCAAGTTAATGATGTGGTCAGTAGGTCACCCCACAATTTCATTTTTACACTTTGGTATAAGAACAGGTTAAACTAATAAACTATAATGTGTAAATCAGTGAGCTTTACAGGTGCTGGTAGGAGTAGGTTTTTCTTCTTTCTTTTTAATTATATATAGAACTTTTAGAATGAATCAGCCAAGCTGTTTCCCCCCGCTATGGGTCTTTATGCTAAAATAAGCACACTACCTAGCATCTTTAAAATCACAAAGTCACAACATGACAATAAACCATTCAGAGCTACTTTTGAGCAAGAAAACTTTATTCCTGAGTTTGGTAACAGTGAAGAAAATCAAATCTCAAGTTTCTTTTTTTTTTTTTTTTGGTAATTTTCAGTCTCAATAATGTATTTTGGTTAATGAGTTTTGGCTCATTTGGCATCGCTTGACCTTTATAAAAGCAATAAAGCCAACTAAAGGGAACAGTTGAAAGCCCTCCAAAAAAAACCCACTGAGTTATGATTTGTTTTGTTTGTTTCTTTTTGTTGCTGCCTTGCAGAACAAATAATGTGGCTTGTTTGTCGATTACTTTGGTCGAGAGCAATTTCCAGTTTACTTACTGGTGCATTCTGTGTCAGTGGAGGGATGAATCGAAAACCTCATGTCCACGTAGCTCTGTGCATGTACGCAAGTCAAACAGAATTCAATTCATTCCTATGAACGTCTGTGATCTCTGATATCTTTGCATTCTGTCCAGAATGTGCCTAAAGGACGAGGTGTGTCAGAAAAGTTCCAGGACTGGTGTCACAAAAGATATATTTCAACCCGAAACTACAAACTACGAGTTTCCCCTTCAAAGTAATTGTCCTGGAGTACACAGCTGTGATCTCAGCTCTTTGCAGCCATTGACATTGTTTCCACATGCTTTTATATACATATCTTCTGTTTCAAGCAATGAGCATAGGGCAACGAACAAACCTGAAGTTTCTGGTCCAGTTGGGGAAAACTCCGTCAGAATCACTGGGATTGCTGCAGCAAGTGTACAGAGATGAACTGATATCATGCTCACGTGTTTTTGAGGACCCAAGGATGTTGAAGACGACCCCAGGAGCGGAAGGCCTTCAACAAGCAGGACTGAGGCCAATGTTGAGCGCGTCAGGCAGATGGTGTGTGGCAATCGTCGATTGACTGTTCGACTGATCGCAAATGAGCCGGGCCTGAACTGGCACAATGTCTGGAAAATTATCACTGAAGATTTGGGCATGCGGAAAGTCTGTGCAATGATGGTGCCGAAACTGCTGAACGATGACCAGAAGGATCGATGTCCAAAGTCAGAGTCATGTTGATCACATTCTTTGATGGGGCATCCTCCACTGCGAGTTCTTGCCACAGGACCAGACGATCAATCAGCATGTCTAGAAGAGATCCTGCGTTGTTTGTGTCGTTCAGTGCGTGAGAAGAGGCGAGAGTTGTGGCAGGACAGGTCGTGGCTGCTTCACCATGACAACGCGCCTGCTCACAACGCCCTGAGCATCCGACAGTTCCTGCTGAGAAGAACATCTCCGTGCTGGAGCAACCTCCCTGCTCACCCCACCTTCTCTGTGGGATTTTTTCCTCTTCCCCAAGCTCAAGGGGGTCATCAAGGAGACCCGTTTTTAAGACGTGGACGACATCAAGATGGCTGTGATGATGGAGGATTCCATGGATTGCATGACGGCGTGAAGGCAGAGGAGGCTGGGGAAGTGTGTTAGACTCCAGGAGGATTCCTTCGAAGGGGAAAACTTGTAGTTTGAAGTTTGGATTTGAAATATATATTTTGTGACACCAGTCCTGGAACTTTTCTGACACACCTCGTACATTGAAAAACCATAACTTTTGCGGTAACAGACGACTCAGTTGCCTGATTATGTTGATAGTAAAATGTGTAAATGTGGACTTAAAAAGAAACTAGTTCAGCTACGTCAGCACATGGTAGCTGTGTGATGTACAGAGTGCATGCATAGTGGTTCAAACATCCTGAAATAAAGCATTTCACAAGATTTTCTGCACACCTGGCAGCTGCGTGGAAATGAGATGTGAGGTTCAGTGCAGCTTTTTGCGTGTCATTACAGTGAATAAGCACCTAAACTTAAATGCAAGTTTAACACTAAGTCAGTTTTAGGATTTGACACCCCTGTGATTACACACCATACCAAGCTATCAGTCTGAGGAACAGAACATGTTGGTGCCAATCCTCTTGTCGCCAATTGGGGAAAAGTAACCAGTGGAACGAAAATGTACAGTAATATATTAAAGTAAATGAAGCAAGATCTGACCAAAAAGTCCAATTACAGCACTGCTTCTCTTCAAAGAGGTTGACTGAGTGTGGCAAGTATCACACATCCACCTTGAGGCTGTCAAAACAACAGGCCCGAGATGATTAGTCTAAAACCAGTTCAAGTATTGCAAATAACTTCCACAGTCTTACATGATTTTCTCACATAATTCCAAACACAGCACTTCATTTTCTCCGACTTGAGTGCCTTGTACTTTGTAGTGACACATCTAAAAACCATTTCCCCAAATTGTTGTCAAGTTGGAACCATCAAAGTGTGCCTGAGAGTGCAAATTAGGTTTAGTTATTTATAATATGCCACGCAGGTTGTGAGGACATGTTGAGCCTGCTGACTCTGAATCGCAGTCACTGAATCATTAAAAGCATGACAATATTACACTGAACACTCTTAAAACTATTCTATCTTCAATATTTAGTTTTTAATGGAAATATTGTTTTGATGAGGAGCAGATGGTGCATTTGAATAGAAACCCAATTTAAATGGATTTGTGCTCTGCGTCATGAATCCACAGCCTGAGGAAGAGTCTCTTTTGAAAAATATAATAAAGATTATAATGAACACATTCCCACGTGGAACGCTTTGATTTAACTACTTTTTTTTTTACACACAAGGACGATCTCAAACTTGCCAAACAGTAGCGCTGTATTTATCCACTTAGAAGATCAGAAGCTGGCTTGACTGTGTCTTGGTTCATGTTTTTTTCCCCCCCATTAATGTCATTAATAATAAATGACTTCTGCCTCCAGGAGTGATGTCAGCTCAACACTGTTGTTCACACTGTTAGTGCTGTGAGGTCAGGCTACAGATCGTGCTGCCGAAGGGGGAAAACCAGATCCTGAACCAAACAAACGATGTTTCCAAGACCACAAACAGGAATGACAAGTGAGAGAATATTTTGAAGGTTGCATGGACAGCAAACATCATCTTGTTCCACGGTGATAGTCCTGCTTTGTTTGGTGTTCACAGTGGAGTTTTTAACATTGAGCCACAAGATGCAAAGCAAGACACATATTGAAAAGTTCACCCTTTAACTGGACAGCCTTTATGATGCATAGTTTGTGCCGGAACTTCCCAGATTTTTAAAACAACGCTGTGTGCTGGGATAAACGCTGTTGTCGGCTTGGCGTGTATGTATGTGGTAGAAAAGTTTACAAAGACAATAAAACTTGTCTTTGTAAACATCACAGATGTCTACTTCTCAAACTGACATGAAATCTTTCTTTATATAGCGATTCAAACATTTACATGCTTCTGAACTTTTCTGTTGTGCAGATTCTTGAATGCACAAGCTGAGAACTCACAAACGCTTACAAAATGTATAAAGGAGTCAAAACAGCACCAAGATTTCATCTGTTACATGTGCAAACAAAGATATGCTGCAAGGAGACAACGTGGTTCTGAAATCTGTGTAGAACTGTGATGGACAACATCGCCCCTGTGATGAGAGGTACCAGATTTGCTTGTTGCTAAATTAGCGTACTTTAAGTTCAACTGCAACTAGCGTTTAGTTGGTCAGCATGTTATTTAAAAATGTATTATTAAGAGTTATTATTTTGTATTATTACGATTAAGAGAAAAAGGGCAAAAACAGTTATTTGAGGAAACGTTTGTTTGGTGACTCATTCAAGACAAGTGTTAGATAAGACAGGGACTTTAGAGCTTACGTGGGGAAGATTTGCAGCAAAGACCTTAGTTAGCTACAAAAAGGCCGTCACAAGCTTGCCAATGCTGAACACTGGTAGAAAACTTCTCGCAATAATCTGACAGTTATGAGAAGTTTGTTCCTCCTGACAAACATGAAGAACTTTCTGGTGACGGGTTTGCAAACATGCCAGCTTGTGTTTGCCACAGGTAGCATTACTAGCAATAATAGGATTATTCATAGTTTTCTCTTAGATGTCGGTAAAACACATAGTATAATATAATATATAGTGAGCATTAATGTAGTCAGATAGCTTTTTTGGTATTTCTCCTGTGTCACAGGGGTTTGTTCAAACCTGCTGGTCGACTCCAGCAGTACAAAGATAACTGGTCTGCACTTGCATAGCGCTTTTCTACCTCGGTGCTACGCAAAGCGCTTTACAGTGTTTTCTCATTCACCCATTCCACACACATTCACACACCAGTGGCGACTGGGTTGCCATGTAAGGCACTTGCCTGCCATTGGGAGCAACTTCAGGTTCAGTGTCTTGTCCGAGGACACTTGGACTGTGGAGAGGCCGCCATAAACCACCATAAACCTCCGTATATACATCATACATCTCTCCCATTTGGTGGTTTCTGGTTTTCCACAAAGGCAAACACATGTTAGTTATTTTCACAACAAGAATGTAGTTACAGCAAACAAACGAGCGATTTAATTGTAGCTGAATTCTCTGTGTACTGAAATTATGTTCATGGGGTTTCAAGTATGAAGCAGGATGGTGTTTTACATTTTATTTTTTTTAGCCTTTTGAAACCTGTTCACTCACTGAGCTAGACGCTGAAGAGCATTTGAACAGTGTTGTTACCATCAAACTTGTGAACAAACAGAACTAAATGTAGTGATTCAGGTTTTTAACTTGTACTCTGTTGTGCTCGGTGCTGGCTTTGGGGGATTTCAGTCTTCAGCAGCGCCAGCAAGTTAAGCAAAGTCGTATACTTACATTCACATTAGTTAGTCTACAACAGGGGTGTCCAATCCTGGTCCTCGAGGGCCACAGTCCTGCATGTTGCAGATGTTTCCTCTTCCAACACACATGATTCAAATGATCAGGGTCGTTATCAGGCTTCTGCAGAGCTTGATGATGAGCTGATCATTTGAATCAGGTGTGTTGGAAGAAGGAAACATCTAAAACATGCAGGACTGTGGCCCTCGAGGACCAGGATTGGACACCCCTAGTCTACAATCTAAAAGTGCTCTCATTTAAAAAGTGAAGCATACTATAGACTGTACTGTAAATACCATACAAGATAAGCACTAATCTAACCTTACTTTTATGCATTCATTTCATCTGTTTTGATTATAACAATCACTAATCAGTGAAGTTTTAAGTGTACGAGCTTAAATACCGTCCAATCAAAGCGCTCCAGACTGTCTCTCCAGGTGGCACCGCACTCACTGAGTTTAATGCATAAAGTTCTGCAAGTCATTTTGATGTCAGAGGAGAACATCGGTAAGAATCCCTCCCATCACTCTGAGTTAGATGCAGCGCTGCACATGTAAAGAGGCTTGGAGTGAATACGTGCACAACACAAGGCGCTGCAGGATTTGCAGAAGTCAGTAGCAGACATTTTTTCTGTGTTTATCACACAGGAAAGCTCTCTCACACCCACTCGATTCCCCTAAGGCACCGAAGACAATAAAGAGTTTTCTTTTGAGAGTTGTGTGTACGAGTTCCTGACCTTGAGTTTAAATTAGAGATAAAGTTTAAACACATTTCTGTCAGTGAGGGCCCATGCGGTGTAGTTCTTAAAGTGTTTTCTGCTCGTATGTGTCTGTATTGTAGAAGAGACCTTCACACAGAATCTGTGTTTGGTGCATATTTTCTTCTTCCCTCGTGGTTTTCTTTGGCAGATTAATACAGCTGAACAACTTGCATCAACAAAAATGCAAAATGAAGGACGCAAATTGAGGCTAATCTTTAAGAGACAGACACGGTTTGGTTAATGGTGCAGAGAAAGTCTTAAAGAGAGAACATTATGAATCTGGCATCACATTTAGAAAATGTCCTCTTCAACCCATCTTTAGAACCTTTCTTGTCTTGTGCATCTATTATCTGTGTGCTGCCTCCTCTCTGCACCAGCGTGGCGCTTCATTTGAAAGCCCAGCACATTACAGTTTATGTGCTTATTGCTTCAGATGGCATATGCCCAAAGCCCAAAGAAGGACCAAGGCTGGTGGGCTTATTCTTCCTCTGACAATTGATGTCTGCCAGAGCTGCACCGCTGACGGGAGTAACGGTGGATGTCTGCACAGCTGACACAAACATCTCCATCAAAAGGAAGAAAAAAAAAAGAAAGATGCGTGAGTCTCTCTGTGTCCTCTTTATTGGGTGACAGCGTCACGTTAGCTTCTCGACAATGCTGGGTGTTTAAACAGCCTCAAGTGTTGATAGAGGTGAACTGAAAATTAAAAAAACACGAAAAAAAAAAGACATACAAACCAATAGTGGTACATAGAAGAAGAACAGCATAAAAAAAAACATTTTTGGTACATTAATAAACTAGGTTTGGGTTTCACACATTACACAAAACATGGCAATTTCTATGGGAAAAAATAACCTCGACATAAAAAGCTAAATCCAACCAAATGATACAAAACTACATTAAAAAAGAAAAATCAGGTACATGTAGTAAAACAGTCAAAAAAAATGGAAACTCTGAGATCTATTTTATCTTGTTAAGCACAACAAGAACCTGTCAGGCATCACACATTATCTGCACATCACCACCTCCTGCATAAAGAACAGGCAGACCATATCTTACACTGGCATTTGAAGATCATATAAAAAGGATAACAAAATAAATAGGGCTGCTAAATAGATGTAAACACAAGGAGTGCACTTCAGTTACTAAGAAACAAAGGAATCGCCCACCATGTCTTTTTGTTATATCTAAGAGGAAAAAAATACTCATCGAAAACTATATCCCAGCAGAACAAAAGGGAAGTTTCCCTCCTTGAGGCTTCGAAGAAGAAGAAGAGGACAGAATCAGGTCTGCTGTTGTGCACAGTTCAGAGAAGGGCTGACAGTCGGACACCTCCTGGTTTGGCATTGATCCTCTCCCCAGAGAAAAAAAAGGTACAAAAAAAATAAAACAGTAACAAAGAAAACTCACTGTGTTTCGGTGCGGTTTCTCCCTCTGAACAGGAAATTCATTTATGACAAAACCATGATGAGTACAACCACCTTACAGCGCCACATAGTGGTCGGGAATCGTGAGCGGCGTTGAATTTGCGATTAATTTTAAACTTGCAGTATGATGGAGGTAAATGGAGGAGTTTCACTGAGCACATTCAGCAGTATCAGTTGCTGAAGTTCATCTCTATTAGGGATTCATTTCAGCCTATGCTTTGGTCATCACTCCTATTAGTAATTTCAACCGCTGTACTCACAGTTAATGTGCATATACTGTTATTGCTGAAAGGAACATTGGGACATTGAATTACAAAAACAATGTTGCACTCATGTCTCATTGTTCAACCTGTAATACGTAAATATAAAGATGGACAAAATGTTAGCTTCCCCTGAAGTGAGGCCAAAGTAGCTTGATCGCCCCCTGGTGGTTGGTTGCAGAACTTGCAGTAAACCCTGCGTGCTAGTGGACGGGACATGAGTCAATCTAAAAAATATTCATGCTAGAAAGGGGACTTATGTCATCATGGCTGATGGCTGTGATTGACAGTGAATACAGTAGTTGCAGGAGCAGCTGTGGACATGTGTTGAGGAGTTGTAGATAATGTTGAAGAGCTGTTGCTTTTTCCTAACCGTGGGGGTTTTTTGTTGTTGTTGTGAACAATGTCCCTCCCACAGCCCTGTCTGATTGGTTATACGTCATGACTAAATGCTGAAATTTTCTCTTTCACTTAAACATTTGGAAAACATAAATAAAAGAAATTTCAATGAAAATTTGTGTTGCTCTAAATTTTGACACCAAGATTTTTATTTTTACTTCAAATGAATATTGTGAAGTTCAAGGGGTGTGCGCTCACATCTGGGTCGGTCAGGAGGCTGGATGCAATGTCTCTACCCCCTTGTCACTAATGCACAGAACAACCTACCGACCTGATGACATCTAAACAAGATATTCTGTTTTGGATTCACTTTTGCACACTGGGGGAAGTGATGACACATCATCCAGCCTTATATTCGGTCTATAGCAATAATGAGTAGCTGAGTGAGAAAAACAGTTCATGTCCCACCACCTAGTTATAATTCTGAGTTGGAGATATTAGAAATTTCAGCCAATTGGATTATCCCCCACGTGCTGAAAACAAACTACACAATTTACTGGTGTCAAAACCCAGTAATGCCAAAGTCAACAACTAAATTAAATTCAACATTAACTTAATTTCAGCTAATTCAAAATGCCCTCTGGTGAAAATCAAGTTGTTGTTGGATTTTTTTTACCTTGTTAGCACGTCCATATGGAGTTTTTTTTATAAGCTAGAAGACACACCATGAGCAAAAAAAGCAGGCATGGCCATGGCTGAGCATTTCCACCTTGAAATGTGTCCCTGTGACAGATTTCAGGAAAAACAAACCAACGCCTGCCATCTTGCGGGGGGCTTTTTTTTCTTTTTTTTCCAACATTATTCTTCTTCAAATCGATTTCTCATTCAAACGTGTATGGCTGAATTACTCCAACATTACAAATTGCAATTGTGTAGGTTAAAGTAGTTTTACTGAATTTTAGCAGTCGTGAGTGAGCTGGTGTGCTCCACCTGCAGCGACTAGGAAGAAGTGGGCGGAGAAAGAGGCGGGACTTCAAGGACTCTATGAGAGGCAATGGTGTAGAGTTAAATCTAAGCCATTTTAAGGCAGGACAAGTTCATTTTGGGGGTGGCAGCCTGACAGTTGAGTGGTTGTGCTGCATACTGTGGGAACACAGATGCTCTGAGTAGCAGGTCTCCGGTTCCATTCCAGGCTGGCTGGACCGTTTCCTGCATGTCGCTCCTTGCTGTCCTTCCCACATTTTACGACTCTCTTCACCATGCCTTGTAAATAAAGGCACAAAATGCCCCTAAAAAGTAATCTTAGAAGAATAATGCATGAACGCTCCCAGCTCAGAATAACAGGCGTTCCGTCAATATTCCATCACTGCAGCAAAAAGTTCCAACTTGACTAAATCAGTTCCATGATGATACTGTACTACTAATGCTGTTTTCAACTTAAAGATGTATGCAGACTGAATCTTCTCCTGGGGTTAGTAGCACACGTTTGACTGATAGAAATGATGAAATTCACCGAACAGACAATAGCTGTAACTAGCTAGCAACCTACATGAGCACGTTTCTGTGTTGTGTTTGTGTAACAGCAGCTCAGTGTCAGATCTCAGCAGGAACCACTCCTGTACATTTATGGAGCAGCTTAATACAGTAAACCCTCAGTATGAGCAAGGGTTCTCTGAAATCAACACATAGTGACTTGTCCTCGCTTCACTTTGTGCTAACTAGAGCATATATTTATGATTTCTGAAATTTGTGGCATGAAAATGATGAAAATTATGTACAAAATGTCATCAACAGCTTCAGTACAAAAATCTTGGCATTGTCTTACAGAGTTTGACTCGCTCATCCCTCTGCTAAGCTCAAGGCCACTTATGATTCTGACCATTTTTTATTTTTTTATTTTTTTATAAGTCGATGTATTTCATCTCCAAACCTTGGGAACTTTTCTCCTGTTGTTGTAATTTGACTGCATCTGTTTTTGTGAGTTTCGTCCCACAGGACTGAGTGTCTCAGCACATGGCGACCATCTGTCCAACAAGTGGTAGACTGACCAGCATTTCTCCACAGTGTTGGAAAAACAGCCAAACAACAAATGCCATTTTGTACATTCAGTAATGTTGTATATTCGGAGTTTCTGACTGATTCTTAACATTGATATTGCTGGTAATGCAGCAAGCCATGTGTGGATTTGTGTGTATTAAGGCAGAAGGTCCATGCAACATTCATCAGCGTATGTGGACGGCAAAAGCTGGTCCACGTTTCCTTGAGCACAGATTTCGGAACATACATCTGCAGTTTGTATCGACTGTATCTTCATGTACTTCATGTGCATAATATTCTCCACATGCACAGGTTGATTCGACAGTATATTCTTTAAGAAGTCTGCATTCCCAGACGCATGCATTCCACTGCATTGAGAAGTCAGCAGGATAATAAATAAAACAAAAAGGGTTTGTGTGTGACAAGTGGCCTTCAGGTATCACTGCAGGCACCAACATCACTTGGTGTCTGTGTATGTTTATGCCTTATTTATGAGTGTGTATGTGTCTTCATGTATACTGGGAGGTGAGGGTGAGCAGCCTGCATCATGTCAAGGTGCTTTGGTACTCGTGTATGTTTAAACGTTTCCATAGCGCCTCTATAAGTGCTTCCCCTCGCTGCTGTTTTGTCCACAATGACCTTTAAGAGGCTCTCAGAGGGCTTTGGCACTGGTGGTGTGGGAGACGGTGTGGGACACTGGTTTCTGGGGGTAGCGGCTGTAGTAGTAAACCTGGAACAGGATGGTGATGTCCACGAAGACCTGCAGCAGGCCACAAGTCCAGAACTGCACAGGAGCCTGGGTGAGCAAGAAGTAGCCTGTTTTAAAGGTGTCGCCGCTGGTCCACATCAGAACCATCTTGATACTGTAAGAAAACAATGAGAGAAGACGTAGTGAAAAATTTTAGCAAACAGCAACAAGTTGACGTGCCACCACCAAGTCATTCATGAACCTAGTAATGGACAGCATGCCCAGGAAAAAACAAACTCCACTTTACAATTAGCCCAACTAACACAGCTAGCATCGTCTGTAAATTGTGCAGGACCACAAAAAGGAAAGGCAGGAACGTGAAGCATCAATCAACATCTGTAACGCACAACCCAATGCAGCCTAAACACCAATCTCGTATCCAAATACAGATACAGAGACGGATGATTTTGTTGGTTGAACCGAACATTTAATAACATCTTCATACACATCTAGCTCTCACCATTACATGCCAAGTGTTTGTTGTGATCAAGGAAGCTCAACTTTAGCAAGATGGAGCATGTTAGCTGGAACAGGCTGTGATAATTTGGCCTATCTCTGGTAACATGTGGACTGTTTCCGCAGACTACGAAGTCCATTAGACTCTAACAAATCGGACCCAACGCTTATTGGAGTTGTAGATTAAACTACAGACAAGAGCTCTGCACAAAATGACCAATGACAGTCAAAACCAAATGTTGTTTCATGTTTGAAAATATGTTGTTTAAAGATATGTACAAGCCGACATCTGTTCATATGGGGGGTTTTTTTGGCTTGTTTTTAAAAAAATATATATTTTCAATGCTACAGTTAAGTAAAGACTGAATAAGGAAAGGTTTCGACTGAGCTGCCTTCTTCTCATCTGCCAACTCTTGCTCGCTCATTCATTGTGTTACTTCCTTCTTAAAACAGTATTAGACCATGAAAGTCACAGAAACAATCATGATGTAGTGGCTGTGACAAAGAATTAAAGTGATCAGTCATTTCTACCTCAGCACCTTGTGAAATAAAAGCATTTTAAAATAAAAATATGTTCCATGAAACATGGTTTTGCATTACTACCTTCTTAGAACTTCACAGATATGCAAAAAGGAACCAATTATTTCATGTGTTCATTTATTAAATTCTTTGGGACTCCAGACATCCGTGTTCCCTTCAAATTAGCATTTGCCCCCCACCTTTAATTCATCTGGGATACATTTCCAAGATTTTTACATTAATTTCGATATGTTATGCCTCCAAATTAAATGTGGTCACAGGGAGCACATGTCAATGACAGAAGGAAATGAGGTCAGAGAAATGCAATATCAGTTCTGGCAAGGAGGGAATTGCAAATTTGCCACAATAACAACCATGGGAAATTGAAATAATAAATCTACTCATGGTGCAGGCTTCTCATCAGGTCTACATCCTGTGACACATTTCTGACTAAAAAACTCATAAGAGATGAGTGGTCATATGGTGCACAGGAGACCACTGAGTGCATGAGTTTCACAGTAAAATGAAAACGGTAACTGTTTTACAAACGACTGGAGAAAAGTGCCCATGTGATTTGAGAAGACAGAGCTCCTCTAAGCATAATCTTCGTCCCCTCGCTGGCACTGGGAAGCACTGTGAACTCAACTAATGAGATGGAAAAGGAAGTCTAACAAGAGGAGAAGAGACGCAGGAAAAGAGCTAAGCCCTGGGGTCCAAACACACAACTTTGTATACGTGTCTAATCTCTAAAGATAGAAAACGACAGCATATAAAAACGCACTCAGGTAATGTGAGGACATTACCTCTGAAAAGCCCTTTAAGGCTTCAGGAAAAACCTTGCCGATGGTGCTTATGGGGGTTTTCCGAACCCGTTTAAGACAGCATAAACACAGCCATCGAATTTTGCAGAGCTCACTTGTGTTTGACTTTTTTTGTTTGTTGCAGTTCAAAAACTTAGTTTTTTGCTTGAGGCAGGGATCCATGTAGGCATCGCTGACAAAGAAAGGACTGAGCCAGCACTGTGTCTACAATGCACCCATACACACACACACAGGACTCCTCAGATGTGCTTCCTAAAGCAACCTGCCTACAACAATATGAACACATGCTGAGGCATTTGAAATCCTTTCACTCAAGCATGTCAGTGTGGTTGGTCAGCACTATTTGAATGAGCTTTGCAGGGCTTCTTTTTCTGTCACTGTGCCAAGGTGCTACTTTGAATTTAAAGACCTGGTTTTATCCCCAGTGGTGTCCAGCTATCCACTATAGTTTGGGTTATATTTGCACCGGTCTGGAGATGTCTGTCTCTGAGATTTCTGTTTCTCCAGGGAAGCTGCCAGGCAGTGGGGGAACAGGCTTCCTTCAACTCGATGCAGACTCTGCTTGGTAGAACATGAGCCCAAACGGATTCTGACTGATTAGGATGAGTGTCTCGACTTTTACCAGCTTATTAAAACTCATCAGGTTTTCTTATTCCGTGACATTACGACATGCTGAAAGTGATTACTGTGTGACTGTTCAATCAATGTCACCCGCTGAGTTGAATCAGACAAAGCCTTACGCATCTCACCTCATTATCAGTGTTGTGGCTGAACAATCACCTCTCTCCTGAAATCAGTGGCCTGTGCTGCGTAATGCAGCGTCATGGCTTGTTTTCACTAAAGATTTGTCAGCCTGAAATTGCACAAATGCAAAAATTACTTATGTTTGTGGAGGGACTCTTTTTTTCAAGTGAGGTGGGGGACCTCAGCTACATCATACATGCAAAGGAGGTAAATCAAATTTCTGTTTTGCTTCTAAAAGCAATGAAAATGTACTTTTAAAACCTCCTACAGTCAATGTTCCCATTACTCAGGACTTAATAAACCAACAGACTTCATTATCAACAGCTTTCTTTACAAAACAAAAGTTTTAGAAAGACATGGGACCTGTAGTTGAACTAATCTCTACTAGGATGTTGGTGGGAATCACAGAGATGACAGAAGGCCTTATCCCCACATTTTTGGGTAAGTTTGGTTTAAATGTTTTGCTCCTGAGGTACGATATTTCTTTAAAAGGCCTCTTGAGGCCATGTTTACATCCTGGTACAAAACAGAATTAGTGTCTGTAGCTAATTTCCTCATTCATGTTCACTATGTGAGTTTTAGCTTTTCTATATTTCACCTATTTAAATTGTATTAAGATTTAATAAAGCATACTTAGGGCCGTACTGCTATAGGACAGTTCATAGCCCAGAGATGTTTTCATGGCTTACATTAGCGCCACTCGCACTCCACTTGTTTGCTTCCTTTTAAAATAACTGAAAGTTAGGTGATCAGGATCTGCTGAGATGGTTACTGCTGAAGCCACCACACTGAGGCTTAAAATAGCTGTTTAGGAAAGGTACGGGTGACGTTACAGAAGTTTCATCCATCTTTATGTACATAAATACATTTTTGTTGAAATGCTTTTCCCAGTTTGGTGTGGAACAACTTGACCAGCCTGCAGAGGGCCCTGGCTTCAATTCTGTTCAACAAGCTTACTGTGGACCCAATCTTATCACTTGGTACAATGTGCTGATGTTCTCGAATGCTCCAGCGAATCAGTCAATATGTAAGTTTAATCAGGTCGGTCAGTCAGCTTGATCAGCAATATTGGTCAGTAAGACTGACTGCTAGCAATAAACATGTAACCTGGTACTACCTGTTCATGGTCGCATGGCCGGCGACAAAACTGGTACAGCCTACCCCTTTGTTTCCAAACAGCGTCCATGAGTGTGTAGACACCCTGTGGAACGCAAAATAATATCTGCAAAGGGGGATTGTCTACCAAACTGCAACTCTCCAGTGCTTCTGTCGTCCTGACTTCTTGCCACGGACTCCAGGTTCTGAAGCAGCCAAGTGGCCTCAAATTGTGTGCTTGAGTTTGGTCATATGCCTTCAAATAATGCTACTGCTTTTGAGGTAACCGATGCACTGCCTCCCTCAGCAGCGCCAAAAAGCATGCGAAGACCAGGAAAAAGAAAGACTACTATTTTGGAGAACGTACGTTCACCACATCCCTCTGAACGGCTGCTGAGGCCCTCAAACTGGGACAGCCTCCTGGATAGATGCCCAAAAAAACTTTATATGGACCGTCATGCTTGTGTCGAGCGGCAGTGATGCTGATGATGATGATGAATATGCAAGATCATTGATATTTGATGCGTGTGCAAAACCCCAGATTCCAAACTTTTCACCTTTGTTAATATTAGTGCATGCCAAATACAGTATTTTTAAGGTAAAGGAAGAAACATGGTGATCGGTATTGTTCTTGGTTAAGGTTGTGGGAAAAAGAAAAAAAAAACATGGTTAAAATTAATTAAAAATTGTGGCCAGTCTCCTGCAATTGTAACATGTTACACCACCCATCCACCACCCAGACTTCCACATGCTTACTTCTGGCTTAATACTAAAGTGGCACCCTACCAAGCCTTCCTACGTGGCACAGAATATTGGCACTGAACATAATGTCAGAGGGGCAGAATGATATCATTCAGCTGTGACATCCTAGGAAGCCAAGCTGGGATGACTTGTAGCAAATCCCTACAGCCAGGCTCCGATGTTTGGTGGAAACACACCAAATCATTTGACCCGAGGCTGATGTTCATGACATATGTCATCCCATCTGATATGCATTCAATTTAATATTCCACTGATGTGAGGAAGATCAATCACAGCCACAATCTCATAAAAGTCATAACCATTTATTCATGGTGGGGTCAAGCATTGCTGGTGAATTTAGAACTGGATTTTGTTGGATGTGCTGACCCATGTGGATCTTTTGAGACAGCATCTTGAAATAAACATGTCACCGAACAAAGCTTTTAGCAGGTGAGTCATGGTGATGTGCCCATTAAGAATGCAGGATGAGTCTTTGCTTTTGCATTTTTCTTGCCTTTCTATAAGTCTTTTAACAGATGTAAGGGGTGCATGAGAGGTAATCTAGTGCCTCTCTGACTGACTGTAACCCCAACACTCTGTCTGTGTTTTTAGCCTCTTTGGGAAAAAAGCTTTGAGTCAAATCTCCTCTTGTATTATTCATGCTCCCAACTTCACCTTAGACCTTTTCATTTGTAAGGCCAATTTGTGCAATCCCTGCTATGTTCCTTCTCCTTGCTCC